AGAGAGAGAGAGAGAGAGAGAGAGAGAGAGAGAGAGAGAGAGAGAGAGAGAGAGAGAGAGAGAGACAGAGACAGAGACAGAGACAGAGAGAGAGAAATGAGATGATGATGTGAGTGCACGTACCTGGTCTTGGGATGGTCTACAGGGTCGACATCTTCATGGACTGCGGTTGTTGCTGCTGACGTCAACAGGTTGCATTGTCAATTAGTAGGCTGGTAGTAGCTGTGTGATTGAAGTCTGGGTGCTGAGCGCCAAGTAGAGGGAAGGGCTCTGGATACATATGTTGGTGGTCGCGAGGGTATGCTCTCATTGACATTCGGATTCAGTGCTTGGGTTCTCCGTTGGTGGAATATCAGTGCATTTCTGCTTTCTGGACAGCGTTGTACTTTCTGGCTTTCAATGTGATTTTGCGTTCTGGAATTCTCTCATTTCGCTATCGCTGAAACGGTTTTCACCTTCGCAGTAGCGGATGCGGATCCCAGGGCTCGATCCCTAGACCCCGCTCATCTGTGTATAGTACCCCCTGTGTGTTTGAACCCGTAACCTGTGTCTTAGGAGTCGGTTGTTGTCTGTCGTGAGGCAGTGTAGCCGTCGGGTCTTGAACCGTAGGTCTGTCGCGTAGGGGTCAAGTCTGTAGTAGAGGTCGTAGCTGTAGTAGTTCTGAAGGGTCAAGGTTGTAGCTGCTACAGTCCTGAAAGGTCAAGGTCGTAGCTGCTACAGTGTCGAAAGGCCAAGTCCACAGACTTCCGGAAGGTCCGGACGTGGCCCTTCAAACAGTGTTCACAGCAGACTAGAGGCAAGTGGGCAAGTGGTGAAGTCCACCCTTGCTGAGTCAGCAGTACCCAGTCCCAGTCTCACTTAGTCCAGCCATGTGGGACTGTGTGCACCAGGGGCCCGGTGGGAAAAGGGTAGACCAGCAGCGAACAGAATTATAAATCAAGAGGCAGCGTCCAGCCATTCATTCATTGCTGCGTAAGCCATGCGGAAGCGCTGCCCCAGCGACTTGTGCGAGGCGGTCTGCAGTCGCCCGAAGTGGAAGTGGGCCGTGAGAAGGACAGTGTGCCATAGTTAGTAGTAGCGGGCTGCCACGGTGGCCATAGCTGGTGTTAGTAGTAGGGTGTGTGTGAGTGTGTACGTGTGTGGGATATCCAGGGTGATCCAGAGTTGAGTGAGTGCGAACAGTGGTGTTGGACAGAGAGACGGGAGCTGGGAGGTACAGGCGCTGATGCGCCATAGTCTGTTGAAGCGAGTTTGTATCTGACTGCGTTTTCGACTTCCATATCTTTGAGCTTTGAGTGGGCACAGTGCGCCAGTGAGATTCACCATCTGTTTGCATGAGTGCGAAGTGGAAAAAGAAAGCGAGTCTGATTGCATCGCTCATTTTCCTTGCAGAATTATATATTAAGTAGTGCTTCGCACAGTAGGAATCAGCTTATGATCATATGTAAAGGGAAGAACACAATTTTCATTTCATTTTGTCATTATGGCGCCTTGATGGTGCCTTGTGAATGTCAAACAAGTTTGGTTACACAAGCAATCATCATTCCTGCCTGGCTGTTACATTACAGAATATGCTTAACACAATGAAGTCAACAACAAATCATCATGACTTCAGAGCATGTTTAACGCAACGAAAACAACGACTATTTCGGCTCAAAAAGAAAAGAAAGCAGTTGTCATTGTGATTGTTACATGTTAATAACATTGTGTTTGTACTTTCCATGCCAGTGACACGTTTCTGGGGACTGGGTATCCCACAGGCACAGGAACTGCACTCACTGCCCTTGCAGAGCTGCTGGCAGAGAAAGGTTTTGAAGTGACTTTACTTTGCACCCAACAGCAGCAATCAGGCGTGAGAAAAGTAAGTGAGGATCTGGTTCATAATACTTCATATCCATTCAATGTCAGATCACTGCCACAGAAATAGCCTCATGCAAACTCCATGAGAGATGAAAAGTGTACCATCTGGTTCATAAAGCACACACATGAAGGTGTGTGTGTGTGCGTGTGTGTGTGTGTGTGTGTGTGTGTGTGTGTGTGTGTGTGTGTGTGTGTGTGTGTGTTGCATGGGCTTGTTTGCTGTTTGCCTTGAGGATCCTCTTTTTAATGTTTCCTTTGGTCATGGGCAATTGCAGCTTTGCACGTTGAGGAAAGCATCACAATCTCCCAGTCAGTCACAGGTCATCTCAGCTTTTGGAAGTCTCCCTTGTTTACTTTTTGGACCTAAAGCGTAGAATATTTATGGGAGTGTATTTTTACTTGTACTACATGTGCCATGGGACCCTTGGGTTATATTGTGCTATAGATTGCTCTATAGAGCATAGTAGCATATTAATAGGGCCATCTATAGTCAAACTAAAATGGTATTACAGCACACAGTATAGACTGTATTCTTGCTTGCAGTACTTGCCAGAGCCATAATAGCACTAGTTTTTTTTGAAGTACAACCTTCTGCAGCTCCTCCCCATCTCTGTCTGGTGCTCCAGGTTATACCTTGATACCCCTTGATCTTGTAGGATTGATCCATCACGTTGCATCATCCACGGCTATGATAGTAGTTATAGTATCATATGCATATATTGCCTTGCTAAATGTGCGCATTTCGTCCTTACACGTGTCTTGCTGAACGTGCACATTTTGTCCTTACGCTTGGCCCCTGTTGCAAAATAATTGGCACAACTAATTTTTACCACCTTGTCTAGCACCATGGCCTCTTGTTTTTTAATTTTTTCTTTTTGCCGTTTGTTTCGCATAGTGCGCTCTTTTAGTTCATAGTTATGTGACAATATGTTTGTGACGATAATATATATATATATATATATATATATATATCGTCAAATATATATATATATATATATATATATATATATATATNTATATATATATATATCGTCAAATAGAACTGCCCGGTAAACCGTAGGCAGAGAGGGAGAAGAGGACAACAAACGAGGGGCTGTGACAAACTGTTTATATATATATATATCCTATCTCTGTGCCTCCCTCCGTACCTGTCTCTGTGCCTGTTTCTGTGTCTATCTCCTTCCAGATTACTGACTTTGTGGGTACTACATGTACTTCCGTCCCGGCCTCTGCACCTGTCTCTGTGCTTGCCTCCACACCTGTCTCCATGCCCGTTTCTGTGTCTGTCTCCGTGCCTACCTCCATGTCTGTCACCGTGCCTGCTTTAGTCTTCATTCCCCCACATGCTGCACTAACACCTTGTGACCTCCTTCTTTGTGAGAGCACTGACACAGTTACACTTGGTTGTGGAAAGCATCGACTTTGTCGACATCTCTACAACCATATAATTTTTCGGGCCCGCTGTCGGCAGGGATGCCACCTGTATCCGGATTGTGAACATCCTCTGCATCCAGATGCAGTATGTCCCATCTGTGCCTGCGGGCGCTATAGTGAATGTGCACTTAACTGTGATGGTGAACGCCCCACAATCGTCATGGCCTGCAACCGGCATGCCCTCTGTCGTGCATGCTTCAGAGGTATGGTTAATGCTAGCCGCCCTGGCTCCTGCTGTGACGAAGTTGCTTACCTAAATGGTTTTCGTCCTGTAGATCAGCGGGAGGGCTGCTACCATCGCCCGCATCCTTATGACAGTTTTCCTATCTGTCGTGACGATCTTACTTAAACGTACCTTGCACCCTGACAAAAATGTGCAGGTGCGCTGAAAAGAGTGTACAAGAATGTGCAAAGGTGGGGAACCCTTCACTAAAACTGCAAAACTGTGAAGAATGCAGTAAAAGAAGAACATAAGTTTGTGTCATTTTACTTTGTTTGTACCCTGCACCCTAACACCCTCAAAAGAAAAGTCCGAAGGGTGAAAATGAAGATGAGAAATGAAGAAGGAAGTGCAGGTGCGCTGAAAAGCGAACGTGGTAGACTATTCACCAAAACCGCAAAACTGTGAAAGAAAGAAAAATGCAGTGAAAGAAAGAAGATGTTTGGGTCACTTTTTTTGTTTTTTCTCCCTCTGCCTATCGGTTTTCCCTTTCTGCTCCTCTCTTCCTTGTGTTTAACACCTCTTCTTTCACTCTTGCCTCTTTCCCATAGCGTGCAAGTGGGCTGTTATGGCATACGGGGATGGGGGCAGCTCGCGCTCAACTTCATCAACGTGGCGAGCCTTGTACGTTAGAGGCATAGTGGAGGAGGCGTTAAGAAGACCGAGAAACTGAATGATTTCAATGTGTCTTTGTTTTTTATTTTTATCCTTTGAATCAGTGTAAATTGTTTTTTGTAAAACACTGAAAGAAATAATAATATTGTGAAACAAAGAATAAGAGGACACTGTTTTGTGTCATTCTGGTTTGTCTGTCTCTTTGCCTGTCTGTCCTTTCATTTTTCTTTTCTTCGCTCATCTTATTTCTTCTTCTCCTTCACGTGCTTACGCTCTTAGTCAATAGTTATGTGACAATATATATACCAGCCTGAGAACCTCACCAATCTCTTAGGTCTGACAACAACTAATATATGTCTTCACATTCTCCACCACCCGTTTTATACACCATCAGACTTCCTTGCAATCGCCCTTCAGCTTGATGTCGATCTTCCCCAACGACAGCCAGAGGATTGTAATTATACCAGCGAAGGGGGCTTTACCATTGCTGTCCTACAAGTGGCAATGAGGGACCGACAACTTGAACTACGCAATGCTCGAGCAGGTGACTGGTTTAATCCTCCATCCCACATCTCTGCCTGCATTGTGCATGGCCCTGGCCATTACATGACCATTGTACATGCCTCTGACCACTGGAGCTGTGGGACAACGACACCATGGTCCATGCCATGATTGATGTCACTGATTTCTTACAAAATGATATTGTTTTCTTGCCACAACAAACCGTCCGCAATCTCTTTTATGTCGAAGATCATTCCTCTAGCCCCGTGCTGCAATAAGACAATGTACCAACACTCTGCGACCTTCTCCTTTGCACAACCACAAACACTGTTACACTCGGCTGTAGCCACCATCGTCTCTCTCACAATCACTACAATGACATGGTTTCTGCATCCATGTGTGCAGAGGACTGTCCCACCATTCCTGACTGCAGGCAACCTCCGCATCCGGACACTATATGTCCATTTTGCGGTCATGGGTGCTATACTGAATGCATGCTCTTTTGTGGTGACCGTTCTTCTTTCATTTTGGCCTGCAATCGACATGCCATTTGTCGGGGGCGTATGGTGGGCATGCTCAATGCCACCTGTCGTGGCAATTGTTGCACTGAGAATGCTCAGCGAGATCTTCCATGTGTTCATCCACCTCATCCTTACACTGTATGTCCTCTCTGTCATCAAGGACGGACTCATTCTTGAGCCTTTTCTTATCCTCTTTTGCCTTCATCTTCACTCCACACTCCATACATTCCCTGACTTTCCCTTTATCGTTCCTTGTTTGTCTGCTCTCCATCTCTCCTCCCTATGTTTATCCCCTCCCCCTTCACTCTGCCTCTTTCTCACAGAGTACAAGTGGGTTGTTATGGCACACGGGGATGGGGGCAGCTCGCGCTCAACTTCATCAAAGTGGCGAGCCTTGTACGTGAGAGGCACGGTGAAAGGGGAGTCGAAAGAAGAATGAGAAAAATGAATGGTTTCACTGTGCCCTTCATGCTTGTCTTTTTTTTTTTTTTTTTTCTTTTTTTTTGCAGTTTGTTTCGCAAAGTGCGCTCTTTTAGTTCATAGTTATGTGACAATATATATATCGTCAAACAGAGCTGCCCGGTAAACCGTAGGCAGAGAGGGAGAAGAGGACAACAAACGAGGGGTTGTGACAAACTGTTTCGTCGTTTGTTGTCCTCTTCTCCCTCTCTGCCTACGGTTTACCGGGCAGCTCTGTGTGGCTATATATATATATATATATGAAACGGTTTTCACCTTTGAGGTAGCAGTTGCAGATCCCAGCGCTCGATCCCCAGACCTCGCCCTTACCCTTGTACAGTACCGATGACCCGTGTGTGCTTGAACCCACGACCTGTGTTTTGAAAGTCGCCTGTATGTTTGTTGTAGATAGGGTGGGCATCGGGTCTTGAACCGTAGGTTTGTAGGTTAGCGGTCGTAGCAGTGGCAGGAGTCGTAGCTGCTACAGTGTTGAAAGGTCAAGTCGTAGCTGCGACAGTGTTGAAGGGTCAAGCCACAGTCTCCCGGAGGTTCCGGACCCGGCCCTTCGTGAGTCATAGTAGTCAGTCCGTAGCCAAGTGGTCACGTGGGTAGCCTTACTTTGCTTAGTCAGCGGTAACCAGTCCCAGTCGCACGTTGTCAAGTCAGCAAGTACCATGTGGGACTGTGCGCACCCCGGGCCCAGTGGAGAAGGGCAGACCAGCGACAATGCCAAGTATAAATAAAGAGGCAACAATCAGTCATTCATTTCATTATGCCTGTGAGCTGTGCGGAAGCGCTGTCGAAGTGTCTTGTGTGCGGAGGTCTGCAGGTGCCCGAGGAGGAAGAGGGCTAAGAGGAGGAAGATCGACCATAGCCGATAGTTTGTTAGTAGGAGGAGATAGACGACGACCATAGCCGCCACGTCAGCGAGATTAGATGGTTAGTAGGTGTGTGTGGGTATGTGTATGTGTATGTGTGTGTGCGTGTGAAGTGTGTGTGTGTGTGTGTGCGGGACATCTAGGGAGATCCAGGGTGTGTGTATGAACAAGTTGCTGAGAGTAGAGAGGTCAGCCATAGCCGACCAAGACAAGTTTGAATCTAAGTTGCGTTCTTGGCTTCATTATCTCTAAGCTTTGTGTAGGTGCAAGTCGCCAGCTTGATCGTCATTTGTTTGTACGCATGCTGAGTGTCAAGAAAGATAAGTCTGATTCCATGTATATATATATAGCCCTCTACTTTTGCAGATTGAGC